TTTATATGACAGATATCCATGGGGGGATAATTTGGGATAAATCGTACAAACAACTTTTTACTGTATTCAATAAGGTTGAGAAACTTATACATCCAGACGAACCAAAAGAGAATGAACCTCAAAAATTGACCTACACCCTACAGGGGTTTGATACGATTTTAAGGTAAGTATATAATGAAAATTTTACAACAGTATGTGATCCCTAACTGAGGGCGTTACAAAAGACTCACTGCAACCATTTTTACAAATAGACGACGTATGGTTACTTTATTATTTAAATATTTATTTATTTTATAATTTATGTTTATTTATAATTTTATAATTTTGTTAGCAATGTAATATACTCGTACCGAAGTTGGAGCCGACGGAAGATGAGATGCGTGCTGAATGGTGGATTGTTAGCTCGGCGTGGATTGATCGCCCTGATTTTCCAGACCCTGAAGTTCATAGGGCACCTTCCCTAACATCATCACCCAAAAACTCCCCTACCCATGAGCATCGAGAAAAGAAGGCACGGATAGATGATCCATCTCACCCGCCACCACCACCACCCTCGGCTGCTGACCCATCAATTGACAAGGACCAAATTATTAGTGACTTGCAGAGCGAGGTCGGTCAATTGAAAAATGAGGTCCGTGAATATCGCGAGCAGTTGCATTCTCAGGAGGAGCGTTTAGCATAGCATGAGGCTGCTTTAGCCATGGTTCTAAAACTTATCAATAAGACACCCGGAGACGATGTTAGTACCTCGAAGGGGATGGAGGTACATTTTTAATTATTTCATCCTTTATGGTCGTTATGTTTTTGCATCGTTTACAAGTATGCATTATTGAACCGTACATGGATACTACAATGACAATGAGTTATGGGAGCATGATTATATCTTAAGCAGCCCCAAAAAGCCGTTGAATGTCGGCCCTAAGAAGCCGTCTACGGTTATTCACCTGTCGGATGTAATAGAGATTTCGCGGGATGAATACAAAACAACGTCGTAACACCTCTTAGGCGTTCTAACCACCAAAAAATTATGTCCAAGTGGTATAAGTCGTCATGGATACAAATGAAGAGGAAAGGTGTTGCACGATAACAACCAGCACCGTTTGACAATCTTTTAGATCCTACCGTACACATTGTTTATAAAGAATGGGATGGATCGTTGTTGTTTGGTCACAATTATTTGACCGATTTTGCTACGCTTGAGTTTTGGACACGGATATATGCAGATAGTCATGGAGGATGGTTGTCATGTGATGTAAGTAACATAATTATTTGCTTATTACATAAGACGCTTCTAATTACAATACTTACTTTATTGCAAAAAAAAAAATTAGTTGGCAGCACATCATGATGTGGATCTCATTGCTGCTAGAGCGTAGAGCGGATGATGCTCGATGGACGGTTGTATCGTCAGCTTTTAACACTGATACATATGACTGTAGTGACATGGTTGACGGATCCGTTTACCCAACTTGGGCAAAGTGTGATACGCTATAATTTTGTTTGGGTTACATTACCTGAGTATTTACATACTAATTTATTATTTCTAACCCTTTTCGTAGCTTTACATCCCAATCAACATACCATAAGCTCATTGGTTTTTGGGTGCTTTCGATTTGAAGACATTCCAAATGACTATATGCGATAACTATTGGAAGGGCGGCTATTGTTCAGAAAATAAGGATTGGTTAATAGGTCTGAGAGCATGCATCCACAAACTGCTAGTCGGAGTCAACTATTGGGGTAATGAACCAACTTATTCAATCCCACTTGAGAGCCTCAAGGTGACCCTCGAAAAGGCTCCACTGCACCAGACGTACCACAACATATTGACAATAAATGGGATTGTGGGGTGTTTTTGTGTTGGTTCCTGGAGGCATTGATCACCGAAAATCGATTTTTATAGAGGGTAAAACCATCGGTCCATGAGCTATGTGTTATAGAAAACGACTAGCATAAATATTTTGGAGTACAAGGACAAAGATAATTTGAACATCGTATCTGTAATATGACCAACAAACACATCATTTATTTAGTTTATGTATTTATTAGTTGTTTGTTCATTTTAATTGCTTTTTATATTTTATAAAACCAAAAATTATACATTTTTGCAAAACTTATACATTTTATGAAAGCGAAACTTACATGCAAAAAAGAAAAAATCATATATATTCTGGAACCATGGTCCGGAATCGTACTCCGGAATTCCAGAGACCTCTCCGGAACAATGTTTTCCAGAGCATGTGGCTACTTTACCAAAAAAAAAATTGTTGTCATATTTGTCAAAAAGATCGTTTATAAGGGTTAGATTACTCAATTTCCCATGAAATAAGATATATATTAAATTTGCAATTAAAAAAAGTACATTTTTTTGTTATATGTGGTCATTTAATATGCGGTAACTATTTTTTGTTATATGTGGTCATTTAATATGTTTTAAGGGGGTGAAATAGAGTCAGTAGATACCGAAGGGGGTGAAATAGACCCAGTACTGGTTGAAAGATACCGAATGGGGTGAAATAGACCCTGTTTAGTTTCAAATTGTTATGTCTTTTTAGTATGTGATATGTTGGGGAACTCACTAAGCTTTGTGCTTACGGTTTATGTTTAAAATGCTTTCAGGTACTATTGGTTTCAAAAGGAAGGGCCTGACTTGATCGCACTGCATCGCGTGGAGATTTATTCCGCATTGACTATTTATAATTTTACTCTGATGTTTTGAGAATACTTTAATTATGATCGTCTTTTGGGATGATGAATGAATGGTTTTGACTTATTTAAAATGAAATTTTTACTTGGTATTTTTGGGATGTTACATATTATGCAAATTTGTAAAGTCGATTGATTCCCTAAATGGTGTGTATCAATTATATTTTCTTAAGTGTTTCTTTTTATTTGGGTATATTGGCTCTCTTCCTATTTTAACAGAGTAAAGCATGATGATGGAATCAATTACTACATACACAAAAATTCGATCCCTGTCTATTTGATTTCAGAAAGTGAATGAAATAACGTGGATTATGCCCTCAAACTATCTAATGAAATGTCACAGAGGCACCCTCTCCTTTTGGTGTGTGATAATGCATGGCTTAACACTACAAGAATCAAAGTTGGATTTCTAGAAAATGTTCCAAGAGAATAGTCAAGGGCAAAGTGTTGCAATAAAACAGAGGTTAGATGAACTCTTATATCTATTAGATATCATATATAGAAATTGAATGAAATAATCAATCAATTTTCATACTCTCTTTTTGTCTTTCCTTTTTATTTATTATAGGCTATTTTGTTATTTCTATTACATCATTTAAATTTCATTATTTTCTTAGGCATTGTACTTTATAAAATTTACTTTGAAGAATGATATAGAAGCAGTTAAGTAACTTTTGAAATTGTATATTTGTATATGTTAAGGAATTGTTGAAGGTTAGGAGTAACAACATGTCCAATAGTAATCCAATTTTGAATTCCAGTCGGAATGGTGTTTGGAAAGTCATTTGTTAAAGGGTAAATGAGGAAATTATACTAATACATGTGTACTTTTGCAATTGGTAAGATATGTTCAGTAATTAAACTCTTAATCCTTTCAGTTGTAGGTTTGGTGTTTTTTAATTGAAGGTGCATTAAAAAGAGTTTGAATGGTAGGATAGGCTCCTAAATTGGTTCTTGGGTTTTGGAGGTGCATTTAATTTATTAGTTGTTCTCCATTTTATTCTAATGTTGATAATATGATGAGGCTCCTAAACTCTTTTCATTGTAATATAGTTGCTTATCACAAATTGTTTGATAATGACCATTTTCGTCTTTTATCATAACTAAAAAAATATTAGTATACTACAGGTACTAAATTTGTAACTTTTGCTTATCCTTGAATAAAGGTTTATAAATTTCAAAAATAGTCTTCTTTTTGAAAGTTTATTATAATTTTGACTAAACTGTAAATTTGGTCATTGTGGTTAGCAAAAAAAAATATGGATGGAGTCCAAAAAGTTTCCAACTTGTACCATTGGTCCAATTTCGGATCTCTTTGGTGATTTTGGTCCCTATCGTTGGCATTTGTTTATGGTTTTGGTTCACACCCAACCTAAAATGACTAATACACCCTTAAACAATTCTTTTATGATTTCTTTTATTTAATTTCGTATTGTTTTAATTAAAAAAAACAAGCAAAAAGAAAATCACCCCTACCCAACCCCTTCCCCCCTCTCTCACTCTCAGATAAGCCAAATCTTCATCTTTTCATTTTCTTCCTGCCCCCATCACCTGAATCATCACCATTTATCTACGTCTTCAAGCAGCAGTCTACAAACCACCACAATAACCATCATACACACCATCAAAACCAATGTTCATCATCTTCAATATAATCACCATGTCTACTTCATCAGACCATCAACCACCACAATCTCTAAATCAGCAAACCCAACATCATCAGTCACCATGCACCACCGTCATCTTCATCCCATGTTCTGATTTAGACACCCTCACTAACTCAAGATCACCATTAATGTATTGTTTTCTTCCCAAATTCTTGATTAGGGTTCCAGTTCTCGATTTTAGTATTCTAATTTTTGAGTTCTGGTTGAGTATCATCTTCTTCCCCCACCCTTGATGCTTCTATAATCAATGGTGTTGTTTTGTTGAGATGATGAGAAACCAGTGATAGTGTTGTTCTCATGGTTTTAGTCTAAGAGGTGTTTTTTGTGGTGTTTTAGTTATCAGTCGAGTGATGTATTTTATTGGTAGTTGGATGATGTTGGTTAAGTCTGGTTAGGTCAGAACAATGAGAACAACGGTGAAGGGTGTGATGTTGGGTCTCCCTGAATAGAGATTAGGGAGGTAGACATGACCAAACTAAAAGCTTTGAAATTTTTTTTATATTGTATAGTTTCTAGGGTTTCAGAGCTCACCTCGTTGGAGGAGATGAAATGGGGCGGAGCTATGGCTGTAGGAGATGAAGGGGAAATGGAGGTGGGAGGGATAACATCAAGAAGTGAGAGAGAGGGATGAGAGATGTGTGGGAGGCGGAGGCTCCGACAACTGTGGTGGATATTATCTCCGAATCTAACGAGACATGGTGGATTTCATATCCGGCTCCAGCGATTCCTCTCCGGAGAGAAGGCAGGGGCTCCGACGTTAAGTTGTCAGCAGAAGAGAGGATGCAGAACAAGAGATTGAGAAGAGTTAAGGAGTAAGGGTGCGGGTGGGGTGGGAGTGTTGGGTGGGTACGTTTCGTTTAGTTTTTAACTAAAAAATAATAATAAAACGAATTTAAACAAATGAAAATGGTAAAAGAGTCATTTAAATTTTTCAGGGACCAAATTAGCGGAAAGTTTGTGATTTTGGACCAGTGGTGCAGGTTGGAAACTTTTTGGACTCCATCTATACTTTTTTGTTAACCACAGGGACCAAATTTGCAGTTTAGTCTATAATTTTGGTTCTTATGGTGTACTTTTTTCAGTTTACAAGGGCAAAATGGTCATTTTAAAAACTTTAATAACTAGGTTATTAACTTACACAACACAGAGAACAAATTAAATATAAAGCCAAAAACAAGGACCAAGTATGTAGTTGGAAACTTTTTGGGACCAAAACTGTAAAATACAGTGAACAAAGTGTAATTTGCTCGAAAAAAAAAGATATGCTTTTTACCTTTCTTATTTTTATATATTTCATTTATAACATGTTACTTTTTGTTATATATGTATTATATCATCGTACTTTCATATAAATAAAAGTATGATGTAGTAATTACAAATAAATGAAAGTATTATTTTCTATTCAACATTGTACTTCGATAATCTTCATAATTCATCATTTTACTTTGAAATTCTTAGATGTTACTTCTTAAAATATCCTATTCGAGCATTATACATTGAAAATAAGGTCTTAATGTACTATGTTTCATTGCATACCCCCATCTCTCCTAATTTTATAGGGTGAACATCTCTTTACCAATTCAAAGGAAAGAAAGAAACTAATGGATATGTAGCCAACGAAATTGATGTAAGTCTCAAGTTTTATCGACTATTATAACATCATAACTCTAATATATCCTATTACAGAATTTTACTTTGAAACATCTACCAATTATAGCAATTTTCTCTAGATACAAAGCAATTATAATTGGGTACATCTTTTTAGAGTATAATGTCCAAATAAGAGATTTTTTCAAGTACAATGCTATAATATCCCACTAAGAATTTCTTTGAAAGTACAATACAAGCCCTAGAATTAAGATTTAATATTGATAATGTAATGTTTCCAAATGCTCATCCATCAGATGAAAAGAAAAGGAAAAAGATAGTTCAAGTATAATTAAATAATGTATTCTTTAAATTGTCATCATTTCAAATCTCTACGTTTGCAAAAAAGGAATAAGAATGAACCGGGAAATTACTATGGTTTCATTTGAAAGTAATCTTGGATTTCCTTTATTTTACATGCCTTAAATTGGTTTGTTTTCTTATATAATTTTGAATTTCCTTTATTTTAATATATATATATATATATATATATATATATATATATATATATTTAAATTTAATCATAAATGTACTTTTACTTTCATATTAATGTTCCTTGGTGGTTGACATTCTCTAGCTTTAACAGATGAAGGAGAGGAATATTGTGCGTTCTGTTTGCTGTCTAAACAAGAACTTGATATTAAGTGATTATTGTAAAAAAGTAGACTGGGAAATTACTATGGTTTCATGTGAATTCAAACTATTTCGTGTTATAATTCTTTTGGTATTTTAATTTAATGAATATCATGTTCACTTATAATGTTTTTGTGTTAATAACTTAGTGACAATGATTAGGGTTTTGTAGGGGAATTTGCAATGATGGTGTCTGCTCAGCTCACAGTCGAGGTTGCTAATGAGGTTAAAGAAGGTATCGATTTGTTTCTTGGTTGATTGACTGCACTTCAAATGGCTATTCACAACACCCGTCATAAAGTCCAACAATACAAGGACTTGTGATTATCTCCTAATATAACTATTGTAAGTTTGGGTTATATATATTATATAATGATAGCACCGCATCTTGGTCATTTTTCATCATTATTCAACAACTTCATCCATCAAAGTATAGAATAACAGGGTAATATGGTCATTTTTCATCATTCAGCACACTTAGTCAGACATACAATCAAACAACATGGTTTCTTTCACAGTCAGTAAACTTTTCGAGACAACACTTTTCTAGACAACAAGTATCAAACAGTCCCTAAATGTATTGATATTTTCAACCACCCAAACCTCTTAGATAAATGGATTGTCATGGGGTTGATTTGTTTATATATTTCTCAACTCAATCTATTAAACAAATAAATTGAACTTAAGTTAACCCATTTAAAATTAGAAATATAAATCATTTAACTAAAGATTGCGCTTACTTAAATTAGGTTAAAACTTAAGTAAATGTCAAAGTAGATCAAAAACACAATCCCAATTCTCAAATACAAATAAATTGTCCAAATAACATTAAAAATACTTAATTTTTAAATAATCCAACTCCTACTTTCATAGACTCTACTTTCAATTTCAGCATGACTTTCAACTTCATCATCTATCTTCCCCGTAATGGATGACTCCACGTAACTCCTCAAGTTGAGTTTCCATTTTTCGCGAAAAAAATAATTAGAATTTGAAAGGGGGGTTGTTAACGCCAAAAATAAGATGAGGTTTCAGGTCACACTTTAAAACATAAATAATATTATAGCATTATAATTTATAAATTAATAGTTAAATAAGTCTATTTAAATAAATATTAAATTAAACATATATGAAAGTTAAATGAGTTGACGAGTTGAAAACCCGAAATTAAAATTAAAAATTCAAAGAACCAAGAACCGAATCGAATACCCCTATGTGATTCAGATTATGCTCCTACTGCATTTTAGTTCTTTCGTTGATTCACACATCTCTATGACTAAGGCTAGAGCGTGATGTCATACTTGTCACGGTTGTAACATCTATAAAATTCATGAAAAAATTTAAACTTTTAAAAACAAACCATAAATCATCCTTGTTTACAAAATACTTTTCAAACATGTTCATTATTAGAGTTTTTCCCAAAATCATAAAACAAAACTCGAGGAGGTACACGATCACGCCTTCGCCTTTCCACGATCCTCTGAGGTACCTGAAACATAATCCAAAACTGTAAGCCCAAAACTTATCGAGTTCCCCAAAATACCAATACACAAACAAATAGCACATATATAATAACAACATGCAATGGGTCCACAGCTAACAGACTGGATTACCCCTGAGCCCACAACATAAGTCTGGCTTGCCCTCGGCCCAAAGCTTATGTCTGGCTTGCTCCCTGAGCCCACAACATAAGTTTGGCTTGCCCCTGGTCCCATAGCTTATGTATGGATTTCTCCCCGGCTTGATCAGTCCTCAGACTGAATACCACTAAGCCCTCAGTACGAGTCTGGCATGCCTTTCCTGACCCTCAGCTCATATCTGGAATGCTCATGAGCCCTCGGTATGATTCTGGCATGCCCTCCCCGACCCTCAGCTCATATTTGGTTTGCTCTTGGGTTTTTTGGCTACAGCACGGAGTTGTACAACCTCAACCCAACCTACACAATATATCGACATATAAAAGATAATATCATATACAGATAAACAAATAGTATCACAGGTAGTCCTACATATCTACCAGACTAGCATATCAAATCTAGCATGCATATCTATTCCATACTCAACATATCAAAAAAATATCAGGTTATCAAACCAAGTGGCCGGCCTTGGTGCCTTTGACCTGAAAGTATAGTGAGGAAAACTCACCTCACAAGCTGAACAGAACTGGTAAGGCCCGACTCTGAATCTCAGCTCTCTACTCAATGCCTACATCCACCAAGTGAACAATTCCATCAAAATCCCAAAATACCCTCAAAGTCAAAACTTGGTCAAACTCAAAGTCAACTGGTCAAAATCAATAAACCCATTGAGTCAACCCAACCGAGTTAACTCAACATGGGCTGACCCATGTGACTACGTGGGGCGTACTCTGGAGGTACTCTCAACGTACACGAAGCTTCACAGAAGACCATTGATATTGCCATATTTATACATATTTTTAGGCAATATTTTAATACGTTTTGCTTAATATTTTAGTTATTTGCATAGATAAATGGTACTTATAAGATTAAAATTGTATTTTGAAGCTAAAAGGAACATTTTTGAAGAACAAGGACTAAAAGCGATAAGAGATTGAACTTTGGAGGCTTGGTGAATTAAAGAAAAGAAAATCCACGAAAACAGATGAAGCCACATCGTGGACTTCATTTACACGACGTGGCATGGACGATTATGGAAGATGAGTACACGAAAAGTCAAAATCCTTGTCCGATAAGGATTCATCCAAAGTCACGACGTGGATCCCCTAATCCACGACGTGGAGTTCAAATTCACGATAAGTATATATATCTTTGGTACTTACGGGTTTGAGAGGTTAGTTGGAGATTAGAAGTTCCAGAAGACGAATTTCGGAGGAGGATTAAGAGAGAAATCAAGCATTGGTCTTGGATGAAGGATAAGAAGATCATTACTTTACTTTTGATTTGGTACAATTCATTATGTCTTTATTAGTTGAAATTGTGTGTTTTACTTTAGCTATGAGTAGATGAATCTACCTGCTTCTCTTAGCTAGATGAAGTTGGAACTCATGGTTTGGTTATGTTAATATAGATTTTCCTAGTTGGTTAATGTCTTATGTTTGATTGTTTATACCTAACATGCTTAATTCGATACTAGATTGTTTTAATTCATATTTCGTGTAGTTTAGTGACAATTAATCTGCATGAATTTGATTACCTAGTAATTTAGTGAACATTAGATTATTAGAGCTAAGATCGAAACAATCTTAGATAAGTAATTAAAATATTGAATTTGGTTGTGCTGGAGAACACATATTGTGACCATAATAGCTCCAATCATATTTAATAATTGATTATGTGTTAAATTATGTATGACCATGCATAGCTCTACATGAATTAATTCAATATTAGTAAATTTGGACTAGAATTGCTAATAAAACATTAATTGGTAACCAACGGGAATTGTCATAATTAATAGCTAAATCATTGAGGAAAAGTGGATTCGAACTAACAGACGTGCTTTTAATATTTGGTTGAATAGTTGTTGAAAATTTAAGTTTGTCTAAAATTGCAAAATTAGATAAAAAAACCATTTTACTTTTGCTAGAATTTTAGGTTAAGTTAATAGTAAGTAGGTTAAATAATTAATCTCGTTCCCTGAGATCGATACCCGACTTTTGTGCTATACTATTTGAGAAAGGGTACACTGCCCTGGGTCGAATAGCTAGTAGAATAGTAGGTAAAATTAGGTGTAGCTATTTTCACGCATCAACCACCATCGGGGTGGATGACCGGGTACGCGGGACGTAACCTCGCAACCCCAATTTATTCACTAAGTGCTTAATGGCTTCAACACTTAGCTCATACTTCAGATCCAAGGTCCAGTGTAACGCCCCAAAAATCATGACATTACTTTTTTTTCTTTTTGATTAATAAATCGTTAATACATTTCTTTCTCATGAAACCAAGGTAACCAAGAGTTAGCAAAAACATCCTCAAATCAGAGTAATTCACAGAATGCGGAAAACATGTGGTGTGTACCCTGCAATCGTCCTGAGCTCTTTCATTTTGAAAACTGGAGTACCTGAAACATAAACTAAAAACCATAAGCACAAAGCTTAGTGAGTTCCCCAAAATACCATATAACATACAACCACAAAATATCATGCAACATACATGTAATTGCCATGGGCTCCCCCACATGGTCTTTATCCGGAATGCCATGGGCTCCCCCATGGTCTTTGCCTGGAATGCCATGGGCACGCCCATGGTCTGATATCCAACTGCCTCGGACACCCCCCCCCCCCCCCCCCCCCCCCCCACGAGGTCTTCCATAGAAGTATCACAGAGACAACTAGCATACCACTTATCACAGAACAATTATCATACCACATAACACATAATAGGCCGGAATTGGTGCCTTCGACCCATGCATATAGTGAGGAGACTCACCCCGCACTGCAGAAGCTCGCTGAAAGAATCCCTAGATGCTACCCTGACGGCTTCCTAAACTAGCAATATCAATAATACACTCAATTAACAATTGGGCTCCAATCCATAACCACAACTCCATACCTGGGGTAAAAGGACCATTTTACCCCCAACCTAGCCTTGACCAAGCCCATGATCCAAACTACAATCTGAAAGGCCCAAAGTCCCACTAATCAACCAATGGCCTAATTTTCCAAATTTGGCCCAAACTCCTTACATTGCCCTGCCTTAAGGCCCACCCATTCTTTCTAGTCCAAACACTTTGTATCCTGATGGCCCATTAACAACTCAAGCCCAAAATACCAGAAACTACTAGATCCATCAAAGCCCACTAATGGCCCAATTTTCCAAATTGGGCCCAACCTCATACGAGCCTTATACTAAGCCCATAATTCCCTTAATTATAAGTCAAAAGTCAAAGTCAACGGTCCGAGTTGACCCAACTCGCCGAGTTGTCCTTCAACTCGTCGAGTTTCTCCATTAAATGCACGGATCGGGAAAACCCGCATCAACTCGCCGAGTTGGCCAGGAATCAAACAACTTAATGCTTTAAACCGTTTCCATCAAATCTAGAAGATTCCAATCTCATATCTCTTCCCAAATGATGACTAGATGGGTAAAGTTTCAAACTTTACCCTTAAAAACCACTACAATGAACCCAAACCCGAATCCTTGACTTAATAGAGTGATGCTTAACCCATTAAGCCCTTAAACTCTCAAAACATAGTCCCAAAACACAGATCTTATTGGGTTATGTGCATAACATCAATCCTATGGTGTTTATGCAACCCTAATTGTTTTGATCTAGGT